CGTAGGGCCGCGGTTCGGTCCCGGTTTCATTTTTTTTTATTTTTGTCCCGCCGGGCCGGGCCGGACCGGGCCAAATTCTTTGTTTTTCTTAAGGGCCGTATCGGCCCGTGAACTGCCGGGCCGGTGAACCGGCAGTTCGGAACCGGCCCTTGGTTCTTAGCGGGCCGGTCGCGGTCCGGGTGTTGGAGGGCTCGTGGCCCGGCGGGCCGGGCCGGGCCCGGCACCTGGTCACGTCTAACCCAAACCAAAAACTCAGTCGAAACTAAAAAAATTTATAAACAAGTATGCTCTTAGTTATTCAAAAGTTTTGGTTATGATTTATATTTGGACGGCTGAATTCTTTAGCAAAAACCTCAAAATTTGGTTAGAATTTAGATTTCCAAAATGTGTGTATTATTTAAAATTCAAAATCTTAAATATTTCATGCCAAACAAATTGAAATAAATAATTAAAACATTTTTATTAAAAGTGTGGATAAATCTCACGCTTGTGGATAAATAATGATTATAGAATAAATTTAAATTATCATGTCTTTTACTTTATATTAAATTGAAAATTACATTTTAAAATATATGTTCATAACCGACCTGATTTGTCGGGATTAAGGTGGAGATTATTGAGAATTATACAAGAACTCGGTACAATCTGACGTCACACACAAGTGCAAACTGACTTCGCATTTAAGACAGATAACCGACTCCTCGGATATTTTTTCTCGAAGATCCTTCATACGAGGTTTGACGTACCCGAAACCCGAAGCAGGTGACGGGGTGCCCGCATGATTGGACCACGTACTAAACCACAATTCACATAATTGGACCTCATGTAACATTGCTATCATTATTGTCACCCGTTTACGGACACAACGTCTCTAAAAGTTACTTTGCATTAAATGCGGTCACACCTACCTCGTACCGGAAGTCAACTTATACACTACTATAAATAGCGGAATTCATTGTGAGAGAGGATCTTTTTTTACGCACATTTGATATAGACACATGTAAACAAACTCGGTTGACACACATAACGACCTCCTGTATTCTGCAATCACTCATAAATAATACAAAGCCTACACATTTTATCGCTTTGATTACTTCTGTTATAGTTGTTAAATTCCATAAAACAATAGTTTGGCGCTAGAAGGATGACCTCACAAGCCACATACCTCTCGGCAGGTTTACGCTTATCTTATCATTCATACAAACATCATGTCTGAATATGGACAACAAGAACAAACCTCAAGAACTGGGCATAGTCGTGGCGCTGCTCAATTTGCTGGAAAAACAACTGTGCCGCCGACAGTACCAGACTTCGCAACTCTTGTCTGAAATCCAAAGTTTGTAAAAGGTTTTTCTACTTTAATGGCTCAAACGATACGGGGGGCCTTTTTTCCTGCTCCTGGTCAACCAACTGCATCAATTGTTCCAGCAAAGCTACCAACACCGCCGGCACAAGAAAGTCATGTGCATGCGGCCACGACGCATGCAACCTCGCAACCACACAATGATTTACCGTTAAAAGAACGGACCGCTGTTCAAGCTCCTGGAAACTCTCTGGTTGTTGTTAACCAACCGATGACCAACCTACAAGAGGTAACTGCTGAAAGCCATTCTGGTCATTACCAACGACCCCAGTACTCCTACGACCGATATTACCACAGCCAGAGAAGCCAACTGATATGCGCCAAAAAATTGAGAAAAAATGCTCTCGGCATTAGTCGATGGAATTAGAAGCTTTACGGAAGAAAGTTGTCGAGTTAGAGAATCGCAAGAAAATTCAAGAAGATCCCCCACGACGTGACTTGACGTGGGGTCATGTTTATCTGGAAGCCGATTCCCCTTTGGCACCCGAGCTCACAATAAAGCCCTTACTTGAGAAAATTAAAATGCCTCAAATAGGTCTTTATGATAGGACGTTGGACCCCGACGCTCACCTCGATCAGTATACCTTATGGATGGATCTGCATGGGGCCACTGACGTGCTGAGGTGTAGAATGTTCTCTCTAACTCTGGGGCCTAGGGCTCAAAAATTGTATCACTCTCTACCACGTCATTCTATATAGAAGTGGCAACAATTGAGGTCGGAATTTCGATCTTATTTTATAGGTGCCCAGGTCTGTTTAATTCTGAAAGTGTCTATGACTAATATTGTCCAAAAAGACGATGAGAGTGTCAAGGATTACATTGCTCGGTTCAACGAGCGTGTACAAAACATTGAAGCATGTCACCTAGAAACACTAGTGATCACCGCCATAGCCGGTTTGAAATCAGATTCTTTATTTTGGTAGACACTTAGTTAGAATAAGCCCAGCTTGTTTCAAGATTTTTAGGCTTGCGCCCAGCAACATATAATTGCCGAAGAATCCCTGTTTGTCCCCAACTTGATTTTCTCGTCCAAATAAGTGAAGTCGAGACAAGAAGAAAAGAAGAAAAAGAGCAAATTCTTTGGTAACAAGTTAGGGAAACCCCAGTTCGGAGGTTCTTCAAAGGGAGACTTAGATAATCCTGAGTCAAAAGCGGCAAACATACAATATGTTGAAGACTTAAAGTCGAGTTATCAGACCATTTACTCGGTCGGAGCTGTTACTATCTTCGAGGAATTTAAGGGAAAAGGAATCATTCCCGAACTAAGGCCGATGAGAATCCCTGAAGACCGACTGAACAAAATCCAAGTACTGCACTTACCACAAGTCGGTCAAACATAATACTGACGAGTGTTTAAGTATGTTATCGGCATTATTGAGGTTCATCGGACATCCCCAAGTACAGAAATTTGCCAAAAATTCCGATGTCAAACGTAAAGGGAGACCTCAAGATTTTCCCGACGACGAGGAAGATGACAACAGGACAATAAATCCAAAGAGAATTAGACAAGGGACAAGGAAGTTTTTACATTCATCTCGGACATGCCAGGGACCTCATCCAGAGCAGACAACAAGAAAACTAGAAGAAGCCATTCACCATCTATGTAACTATATTCCTCATTTTCCTCATTTTTAAATGATGCACTTCAACCACAAACTGTTGGGCCTATTTTTGAAATATTCATCCTTAGGCTTGTGAAATTGGGCAAGTGTTGGGCCCAGTATGGGGCATCAGGGACGAGTATGGAGCTCCTCCGTACTGCCTGCTTCAATCTTCCTTCAATCTCATCGTCCATAAAAATACTCCAATATCCTAAAAATAAAACATAAAAATATCAAAGTACTATATTCCATCCAAATAAATAAATAAGTCAAAAAATATATAAGTGCGATAAAATTAAGCATATAAAAATACGTTAATAAAAATATAAAATACACACTTTTTCCGACCAATCAAGGCCCGTTCGTCCGACCCATTTTCTGATAGCCTGTAGTTTCCTGAATACGGGTAACCTTTTTCTGACCCTTCTCGTTATTTTGTCCGTGCTCGTATATCATGAAGTTGGATATATATCGTGCTTGTCCTATCGATTCTTGTTTGAAGTCGGATTATTTTTCAGTTCGTCAGTTTCGTACAGTTTGTTATGTTGAATATAACACCCCGTTTATTTTAAGGAATTTACCGAATTTATTTATAAAAATCAGAGTTAATTTTTTGCAAAATTTCAATTAAAACTTATTATGTAACGGGCGCTACTATACTATCAATAACTATAAAACAAATATGAACAAGTAATTTGAATCTCTACATGCATATACTAACAGTCATAAAACTTAAACCAAATATTCATAAGTTTCACATGGTCCATCCAACATAATATTCAAGCGTAAGCAAAAGATATCCATAAATAAAACAAGTAGTTCAAAATGAATAATAATAGGCGGAAGCAAAGACACTAATAATGCAACATCGAATGACCACCACTCGATCGTCTTCTCGTCGCCGCCACCAGCCATGTCAACCTAAAGAAAGGAAGAGGAGACAAAGAGAAAACAATAGGGGTAAACAAAACCATCATGCTCACCATTACCGCACAATATATCTCGCATAAAGATTCAAAACCATAAATAAAGTATGCATAGAATCTAAGCTCTAACTCCCTACACGGCCC